TTTATCCAAAAGAGAGAGAGAGAGAGAGAGAGAGAGAGAGAGAGAGAGAGAGAGAGAGAGAGAGAGAGAGAGAGAGAGAGAGAGAGAGAGAGAGACAAATGATGCTATTGTCAACAGGCAGCCTATCCCGATCAGCAGCGTAAGAAAATGGTAACCCTGAAAACTTCAACGAGACTGGACCATGAAATTATTACGTAGATTTTGTGATTTGGTAATAAAGACGTAATTAGAAGCATTTAATTGTGTTCATATCCCGTTAATAATGCGCATAGCTGCAGCTGAAATACATATAACAGTAATTCATCAACTGTTATGTACGTACATACGTAAAAATAATCTAATTATATTGTCTCTTCTTAAGCAAAATTGTTTGCTTTGTATGAATATGCCAGGACGAATGTATATTAATATTTCTGCAATTATTCCAGTAAAAGTCTACGGCATTATAACTTGAAGTATTTCAGAACCTTGGAAAATATAATAGTCACCCGTGCGAGGCTCCGTTTTTATAAGAAAACTTATAAGGGTAAACTAGCAACAATACTATAAAATATCGTAAAATCTTCATCGAATGAGTCCTGTTCTTTCATACAGGACTAAATATATTATTGAGTACAGCTTAAAATTATGATTATTTGGACGAAATAAACGTATGTGAGAACTTGTTTTCAGTAAGAAGCATTATTAGTGAGTAGTTCTATAATGTGGACGTATCTATGAATATATAATGTATCTGAAATAATTCACATATCTCATTTTCAACGATCGTTTATTTCATTACAATTTCCAATGAATATTTTTTTCATATAATTGAATCAAGAATTATGAAAATAATATCCCGAATTTGCAAAAGCTGCGATATAATAAAGAGAAATGACAAGTAAATCTAACTTTGGTAATAACGTAATATATGCATAAAAAAATCTTCCTTCTGGGGTATACCAACGAAAGAACAATGTGTTCATGTACAAAGTTGAACTCAATAGTCACGTAATTTTGTTGTACCTCATACCTCACAGCTATAATACCCGCTTGTAGCCTTTGCCATTATATAATAGACAAGTTTCTCCTGATTAGCTGTTTCATCAAACTCTATTGTCACGTGACTTGCATCTGGTGATCCCATTCGTTTGTCAAATCGGGGTACATTTCCCGTAGATTTATGTAAAGAATATTCAATAATTAATGCACTAATGAAAAATAGTAGTAGTAGTAGCAGTAGTAGTAGTACTACTAGTAGTAGTAGTAATTAGTGCAGAAGTTATTAACCCTTTTGAAGCCATGAAAAGAATATTCAATAATTAATGCACTAATGAAAAATAGTAGTAGTAGTAGCAGTAGTAGTAGTACTACTAGTAGTAGTAGTAATAGTAATAGTAATAGTAGTAATAGTAGTAGTAGTAGTAGTAATAGTAGTAATAATAATAATGATAATAATAATGATAATAATAATGACAATAATGGTAATAATAACAACAATAATGATGATGATGATGATAATGATACTGATAATGATAATGATAATAATGATAATAATGATAATAATGATAACGATAAGGGTAATGAAAAGGGAAATGAAAATAGTAATGGTAATGGTAATAATGATAATGATAATGATGATATTGATAATGATGATAATGATGAAATGATAATGATAATGATGATAATATAGTAATAATAATAATAATAATAGTAACAATAATAATAATAGTAATGATAATAACAATAACAACAACAATAATAATGATATTGATAATGATGATGATAATGATAATAAAAATAATAATAAAACTAACAATACTACTACTATTACTACTACTAGTGATAATGATAAAACAACAACAATAATAATGATAATGATGATCATAAATAATAACAATAATAATTATGATAACGATAATGATAATGATAATGATGATAGTGATAATGATGATGATCATAATTATAATAAAAATAAAGTCAATAATAGTTGAAATAAGTTGAAATAAGTTGAAACAATTATGATAACAATAAAAATGATAGCAATAATAACAATAATGATAATAATAATGATGGCGATGATGATAATGAAAATAGTAATAATAATAACAGTAATGATAATGATACTTATGATAAGGATGATGACAACAATAATAATAACAATAGCAATGATAATAATGATGATTGTAATGATAATAATAATAATGATAATTATAAGGATAGAATAATAAGAATAATGTTGATTATAGTGATAATCTCTTTTATTGTGGATTTTTTTTTTTTTTTTTTTACAGATGACCGGTTTCGAATATATCTTCGTCAGAAATACAAAAATGTATTTCTATAGATATATTCGAAACCGGTCAAATACATCTCTTGTATTGTGAAGACATTCATTCTCATTCATACCGTTTCTAGTAATGATGATTATAATAATGCAGCTGATAATGTTAATGTTAATAAGAAAAAAGTAAGAATAATGATGATAAAACATCATGAACAACAACAATAATAATGATAAGAATGATAGTAATAATAACAATAATAATGATAAGAATGATTGTAATAATAACAATAATAATGATAAGAATAATAGTAGTAATAGCGATAATAACGATGAATATGATGATAATAAAAATTATGATAAATAAATGCCAAGGGGAATAATACTAGCAAATATAAACAAGAAAATGACAGTGAAACCATTGCTGAAATAAAAATAATGTTAAAAGCTTCTACTGGAAAAAGAATGTGAATGAAAACTAACGAAGAAGAAGACGAAGAAAATGCATAAAGAAAGATGAACAATTGAATCAGAAACAAACGTTTATAAAACACTTAGAAACATATAATATGAAAGACTAGTCGTTGCTGTCGAAAATACGGAAAAGAACGATATGGACGAAAAAGTTATAGACCAATGCAAAGGACATATTAGACGATAAATAAAAGATATTACGATGTGGATATGATAATGCAAATCTTTTATTACTAGTGTCAAAAACTATCGATCGCTGAGTAACGGATACATCTATATCGCTTTATCTCTGTGTGTATATATTTGTTCACACGCATGTAAATACACATTCGTATCTCCATGGGCACTTTGTCTATCTATCTACCAATCTATCTCCACGCGAGGCTAAGTATGTGTGACTCGACGAAGATTCATGGCAATAGGGTACATGAAACGAAAGTCTTCACAACTCTACGGTACATTAGCGCCACGTTTCAAAACTGAAGACTCTTAAAAAAACAAACAAACTAAGAATTGCAAGACGATTGAGAATGACAATCCGGTTGCGAGTCCATGGTCACAAACGCCAGCCTAAATTACAACCCAGCTTGACGGAACAGTCATGCACGAAACATCTATCTCAATACAAAAAAAATCTCATGAGGATTTGCAATGCAGAGATACATTTTAAAGAAGTTTGTGGTATATTGTGTGTATATCTTTAAGTATAGGATATATATAATTGCCTATCTGTCTATCCACACATATGCGTATAAATTTCTAGTGTAATATTATTCTGATATCGCGTTTACCAGATTAATATTATACGAGGTAATTCCTTTATTTTCTACATTCAGAAACGTGCGGAAATGAATGCATAGATATATAAATAACAAGTTGAATAAAAGTTCAGTAAAATTTAAAAAAGTATCGTAGATTTTTTTTTTATTCGGTATTCAATATTCTATTTCCAAGAATTAAAAAAACAAAAACAAAAAACATGTGTAATATATTTCATCACATAAATAAATCTGAATCTTCTTATCTTACATCTATTCATATCAACATTCCTATTTATGTTGCAAATCAATTATGACTATTCTATATAATTACACAAGTTATCCATTATTAACTTTGGTAAGTGATAGGGGAAGATAATATTTTCTTTACAATATTTCTTAAAATTTTCGTCGCGTTACTCTCATATACATATTTTTATATATTATTTTTTTGGGGGGGAATTCTGATCTCAGACTTAGTTTTCCATTTTCTTGTTCTCATTATTATTATCATTCATAATCATCATTATTATCACGAATACTACTACTACTACTATCATTGGTATTGTTAAAATTATTATTATTAGATTATCATTATTTCATTACCATTATTATTACTGTTAGTACCACTGTTATCATCATTACCATTATTATCATGGTCATTATCATTATCATCATGATCCTTCTCATTATTATTATAATAATTTACATTATTATCATTATCATTATTACTATCGTGAGGATATCAATAATAATAACAATTGTTATTATAATAATTATATCACCATTATTGTTATTATCATTATTATTATTATTATTATTATTACTATTATCATTATTATTACTTTTATCATGATCATTATTATTATTGCTACTATTATTATTATTATCATTATCATTATTATTACTATTGTTATCATTATTATTAGTACTATTATCATTATTACTCTTGCTATTATTTTTATCATTGCTATCATCATTATCATTGTTATTATCATTATCATTATTATCATTAATATTATTATCATATCACTATCATTATTGTTAGCATTAACATTATCACCACTACAATTGTTATCATCATTATCATTTTTGTTATCATCTTTATCAATGCTATTATCATTACTGCTATCAAAATCATTATTGATGTCTTTATCATCTTAATGATCATTGTCATTATCTTATATTTTCCATTGCCATTGTTATCACTACTCTCATTTTCATTATCAACATCATTATTATTATTATTTTCACTAGTATTATCATCATCATTGTTTCTGCTCCTATTATCATTATCATTATTACTAATGTCGTTATAATTATCACCACTATCATTATTGATATTATGGTTATTATCATCATCATTATTAGTATTGTTTTTCATCAGAATCATTAGCATTATTATCATTAGTATTATAACTTTATGATGATCATTATTATTACCTTTT